TTGTTTCAGGCAACATCTGAAGTTGTGTCTCCTGTCTCCCAGTGTCTGCAGGACAGGAAAAGATTTTGGGTAGTGCCAGTTAGCACAGCAATGGACTCTACCTAGACTGGCCCCGTGATCTTTTGGTGATTTTTCACTCCCTGGCTCTTCCAGTCCTTACCCTCCTCTGAGTTCCCTCACTCTTCTTTTAAAATGCAAGCTAGGTATGTAGTCAGTAGTAGAGTGCTTGCTTAGCATGCACAAAGCCCTTGGCTTTATCCCCAGCACTGCAAAAATAAATGCGTGAATTAAATGTCTTAAGACAAATCAAAATCTTTGGCATAAATTGAAATTGGATTCAGTTCATACCAACCCCCTTTTTACTACTGAAATAGTATACTATTTAACCAGTATACTACTGTTCAAAATCTGTCCTACTTTGATCCTACTTTAACATGGACACATATTCTAAAGATGACATAGCCACTTTTAAAAGCATTCTTTAGAAAGTGAATGTAACAGGAAACCACAGGTTCACTCAGCTGACTCCTACCCCTTTAACAGGGTGCATGTCTTCCTTGTCAAATCAATAATCCAGGTCTAAGTCAGCAATTCTCCACCACACATGATTCTCAAATCATGGCATGAAGCAACTGGACATAGCCAGGACAGTGCAGACACATTCCCATACTGAAGGGGACCTGCCACAGCAGGGGAAGGTGGCCACCCTATCTGCTCTCCAACAGCTGACCAGGGATCAGGTTGCATGCTCCCTTCCTCTCCCCAGAATAGTTCTTGCTTGGGGAACTTGAGCTCAGCAAGACAACACCAAGACTGTCCCTTCATCCCCTTGGACTGGGCCAAGTCTCAAATCTTTAGGGAAATGCACTATGCCATCTTGTTACAAAAAGTTGTGACAGACTTGGAGGAAATTGTGTAACTTCAGACTTTACAGTCTTAGAGCATAGACTTTGACTTCTTCTTTCCTCTCTGCACAGTCCTGGCACCAACTCTCAAATCCTGTATTGGTGCTCAGTCCTTAGTGCATTCTTGCTGACTTTGTTTATATTAAGCTACACTCTGAGGCCCAAATTTACTGCCCAAAATGCTTTTCTTTTATGTAAAATTCCCAAGGACATTTAAAAAAAAAAACTTCACCTACCTTGCTAACTGCAACATCATACACACACACACACACACACACACACACACACACACATACACACACACACGGGCATATATATATGTATATATGCATTTTTTCATTCCTTTTTTTTTCTGTAAACATTCCCTGAGTATGTGCCATGGGTCTAGTGCATTCTCTGTAGTGATGGTAATTAGTCTACATACCAGAAACCACTGCCATGTGGATGCACACTCATGCGTAGTGTCTGGGGAACAATGAGAATGGAGTCAAATTTGTGCTTAGCAAGGGACAGGAAGCCCTTCAAGGATGAGGTGGCCTTGAAGGAGCAGAGCAGTTGGAAGACAAAGAGGCAGCTATTACAAACAGGCGGAAGCACATGCAAAGACACTGGTGCATGGACATCTGCTCATGTCTTGGACATTATAACTTGGTGTGATTAGAACGCAGGGCATGCAAGAAACATGATGAAAAATGAGTAGAAAGGTAAGTGGGCTGCAGATGACACAGAGCTCTGTGAGACCTGAAAATTTCACTCTTGATTTGATGGGCACTGGGGAGATTTCAGGTCTTAAGCAATAGGGCGATCCATAGTGTGCTTTAGGCTGAAATGACAATTTTTCTTTCACTCTAATTTCATCTTTATTTGCATTCCTGTGGTTTTCTTTTCCTCTCCAAGCCTACATTATCTCAGCAGAAGGTCATTGTTCTGGTTATGGATTTCCCAAAATCTGCTAAAATGTACCATCCCCACCCTCACGTCCTTGCAGCACCCACCCAGTGGAAACCCTGGAAAAGTGCTCAGATGTGGGTTTGATTTCAGTATTTTGGGCACTTGCTCTATGCTATGTACCATGGAAATCAGTTTCATGTCTTCCTCCCATTCCTCTCCTCTAACTCCTGATATAGTGGCATGCAATGTCAGAAACAGACCCTTTGTGCTAATGTGGGAGCTCTGCACAGCCCGGGTCTGGCAGGTCAGAATGGACAAGCCTGAGGAGGCAGAGGGAGGAGAGGGCAGTGCAAACTGGGATGCATGCAGAGAAAGCCAAGATGGGCGGCTCCTTATGACAGCACCAGCTTCTCTGGCTTCTCTATTCACCTAAGTCTTGCTTTTCTGATGAAGAACTTGCTGTGATTGAAAGGCAGAGGCCAATGCAGGTCAGAAGTAATCAGGAAGGGTATTCATGCCAAACAAGTCAAACCACAAGTGCATCTTTTCAGGACCATAAATCCCTAGCCTCCCACTGTAGAGAACACTGAGGTTTGAATCTGAGCTGGCTGAACAGAGTAGCAACGTGCTGCAAGGAAGAAATCTCATTCTCAAGAACAGATTTTGAGATCACAATTGGAGCATCTGGGGGGTGGGGGGGCTCTGGGGATATCACACAGGGTCCAATCAGTCCTTACAAACCACAGATGGCTCCAGGGCCTTTCAGCAGTCTGTTCAGGGATGCTTACCTGAAGAACAAAAGCAGCCTCATGAGGGAAATGATCCCAGTCAGTCTGAGGGCCCCACCTTCATGGTAGGGACCACTGAGGTTTTGTTAGTGGTGGTGTGTGCATGTCTATATTGCTTTCAGCATCACTCAGCAACATCACTTACTTACAAAATCACAGGTGATTTTTTTTAACCTTGACTGAACAGCGCTGTCATTTATTGAGCACCTACTATGTAGATGGTACTACCATGACACCCCACTCTGAAGGAGATTGTCTCATCTCTTTTTTCTTTTTTACTCTTTTGGTCTTTTTGAGACAGAGTTTTCCTATAGCCTCAGCTGGCCTGGAGCTTGCTATGTAGACCAGGCTGGCCTTGAATTCATAGAGATCCGTCTGCCTCTGCCTCCTACATGCTGGGATTAAAGGCGTGCAACACCACACCTGGCTTCATCTCTTTTTCTATCTGAGGAACATTACCCACCGAGATGGTAAGGAACTTGCTCAGTGTCGCATAGCTAAATCAGACTCAGTCACTGTGCCAGCCCAAAGTCTGAGCATACCAGATGTTTCCATGGCTCCCAATCCTTAGAAAGGTTGTTGGCAGATCTGACTGACTTACATATACATTATATACATCATTATATACATGATGAATCACACAAAACCAGTGCAAAGCCTGACCTAAGGTTGTCCAGGCTGGCTTGCGGCTGTTCATCTAAACCATGAGATTCTTAGGCCCAGGGGCTGTTCCAGAACATTGCCTTAGTCTCTGGGACAAACAAACTAGAACATATACTCCTGAAGTATTACTGGCATGGAGATGTTCAATCACTGCCAGCCTTTTGTGTTCCTGCTATTTTCCCACACATTACATGCTGCCCTGCAACTATCAGAGAGCCTTAGAATACTCTCGAAGCCAAGCCTGAGCTATAGACATGGTCTGCCCTCAACTGGGAAAGAGCCAGAGCTTTGACTTGCTACCCACGGACCACTAGCCTGGCAGGCTCCTTTGGTTTGTCATCCACCTGAATCCTTGAAGGAGCCCTAGGAGCTCAAGCCACTGTTATTCCAAGCGAAACTGAGGAAACTGAAGGGAGAGCGTTGACTCACTTGTCTAATGCATTCCTCAAGTAAAGGTAGACATGAGCCAAGCATGAGCCTTTCTGCCTCAGCCTCTTCATCACCCTATCTCCCTAGGAAGCCTCTAGGCCTTCTCTAGGCACCAACCCTTGTGATAGTGTGAATGACCCCCAAGCTTCCCTTGGCCACAAGGTCAGGGATGGTAAGCAGCAGCACCTCAGCCTCAGAGGAAGCACCAGGCACAAGACCTACATGAGGTCAAGTCAGCAAGATGGGTTAGCATTCTGGTAAGCAGCACTAATTGTCCCCAGAAGGTGGGAGGGGACATGTTGGGAGTGTCGGGGGAGTGCCAGGGGGAGTGGGGGGTGGATAGGATCAAGATACACTGTATACATCTATAAAACTGTAAGTAAAAAATGCTATTCTACCCAACAAAAAAATATCCTAACATAGTTAAGTTCCATAATATTCCAAGTCCTGTAATAACTTTTTCTCCAGCCAAAACAGGGGAGGGCGGTCACATGATTGCCCACACTTATCTAGATTGTCTGAAAATGGCAGACAACTTTGCTATACCCTGCTTCTTAAAACAAAGCATTTAGAGTATATACCTTTTCTTTTCAGATCTTTTTTATTTTTTCAGATTTCTTTCTTTACAAAAATGGTGTTGAGTTCTCACCCCTCAAAGCAAAAAAAAATTGGTCTATTTAAAAGTGAACAAATCCTCAGCAGGTGGGGAAGGCAAAGGCATTTTGAGATTCTGAAGAAAAAAAGATGCCCCCTGTCCAGACAAGTAAATAAGAGGTGGCTAATTCTAACACTTCCTTCTTTCTCACTCAGTTTAAAATCCAGCCCTGCTGGCTGCCCATTATTTTCCACACGCCAAATGGAAGACTTTGAAGAAGCAGGACACTGCAAGCAACTCCATCTGCTCCAGAGAAAAGTCAGCCCTGGACCAGAACATTCTCTGACAAAACAAAGAGGTCAGCCTCGCACATATATCTGTTTAAAACAAAGCTAAGTTAATTATACATTATAACCATAATTCTTCTTTCTTTGGTCTTTTTTGAGACAGGGTCTCTCTGTAGCCCCAGTTGTCCTGGAACTCACCATGTAGACCAGACTGACCTTGAACTCACAGAGGTCCGCCTGGCTCTGCCTCCCAAGTGCTGGGATTAAAGGCATGTGCCGCCACGCCTGGCTGTAACCATAATTATTCTACATTATAACTTCTGCACTATGTGGGTGCAGCTGATCAAATTGCTAACGGACTGTGTGCTGGTTACATGATAGTCCCTTCCTCAGTTTTAGTTATCATTTGTTTTGTTTTGCAAGAATGAAAGGGGAAGGGCCTCTCTCTCAAGCCAGCAGAGTGCTTCGGCAAACTCAAGGTTCATGTGGTTTATGGTCACAGACTTCAGTCAAGAGCCGGAAGTGTTGTCGCTGCCCTGTGCAACTTGGGTTTTTCTTTATCCTGAAGTCTTTGCTTAAAAGAACTACATACCAGGGGCTGCTCCAGCCCCTCTCAGACCTGGGCACCCCCAGCTCTTAGGGACTCAAAACAGACATATATGGCAGTGTGCTCTAGGGTGTAGTAAAGAGAGAGGGGCCAAAGAAAACTGGACCCTCTGGACAGAGCTTTTGCAGCTTCTACAGCCAGATGGTGGCCCCTGGTGTACTGCTCACCATGAAGTCCCCCTGGAAAGTCCTCATGGTGGCTCCTGTGCTCCTTCTCTTCTCTCACTCATTGGCCTCTGCAGTGGATCAGGACCAGCCAGGTGCCAGCTCCTTCAATAGCCACGGCTGTCTAGGTATGTACAGGCTTTTTATGTGGTCTTAACAATAAGGTCTGATAATTTGCTTACACAATAATTCCGCAACTTCAGAGTTAGATGTGGCAGCATTTACCTGTAATCCTGGGATTCAAGAAGAGGAAACAAGAGCATCACCAGATGGAGGCCAGCCTGGGCTATGCAGTGAGACATATGAACAAAATGTCCTTGAATGTGATTGGAATGATTTTGCTCAGATCAGCTTCTATAGTAATCTGAAATTCTCTTTCCTTTTCATGGGTTTTGACCTCAGACTTCTTGATTGGAATTGCTGCCTCCTTCTTCCAGCTCTGGCCTCCCTTTCACTGGCTGTTCCTTAACATTCTCCCTGCCTCTGTTCCTTTCTTGGTACACAGGGCTATTCTGATGGGAGTGTTTCCATGATCACTTTCTCTGACTAACTGTTATTGGTATGTAGAAAGGTTAGTGATTTTTGTGAAGTGATTTTGTATCCTGCCACTTTTCTGAAAGTTCTGAACATTTTTAAAAGTTTTCTCGTGGAGTTATTTTAATCTTTTATGTATAATATGATATCATATGCAAATAAGGATCATTTGGCCTCTTTATTTTCCAATTAGTACCCTTTTAATTTCCTTCTCTTGTCTGATTGCTCTAGAAAGAGTTTCAAATATTATATTGAAAAGGAATGAAGATAATGGACAGCCTTTCCTCATTCCTGAGTTTTAACTGGAATACTTTGAGTTTTTCTCCATTTATAAAGATGTTTGCTGAACATTTGTCATATATACCTTAATTATGTTGAAGTATGTTCATGCCTTCCTATTCTCTCGAGGACTTTTATCATAAATGTATGTTGGATTTTGTCAAAGGTCTTTTCTGTACCTGTTGAGATGACCATGTGATTTTTGTCTTTAAGTCCATTTATAGAATTTGTTACATTTATTACATATATTGAACCATCCCTGAATCTCTGGAATAAAGCCAACTTGATCATGGTGGATGATCTTATTAATATGTGTCTATATGCAGTTTGCAAGCATTTTATTGAATTTTTTTTCCTGTATGTTTCTTGGGCACATTGGTCTGTAGTTTTCTTTTTTGTTGTGTCTATAGCTGGTTTGGGTATTAACGTAATACTGACTTCATAGAAGGAGTTTGGGAGTCCTCCCTTGGTTTCTATATTTTTGAATAATTTAAGCAGTCTTGCTTGTCATGCTTTTTTGAGGGTCTGGTAAAATTCTGCTGTGAATCTATCTGAACCTGGGCTTGTTTTTAGTCAGGAAATTTTGTATTAGTATTTCAGTGTTCTTATTTGTTATGGCTCTGTTTAAGTTGTTGGTCCCTTGGTTTAACTTTGGTGGGCCTGTTGAATCTAGAAATTCATCTATTTCTTTTAGATTTCCTAATTTAATACAGTATAGGTTTTAAAGTAGTCCCTTATAATGTTCTTGATTTCTTTGGTGTCTGTTGTAATGTTTCCCTTTTCATCTCTGGTTTTGATCATTTGGATTTGTTCTTTCTTGCTTTTGATTAGCTGGGCTAAGGGTCTGTCTATCATGTTTATCTTTTCAAAGAGCCAGCTTTTAGATTCATTGATTCTTTGTATTATTTTCTTTGTTTCTATTTCATTTGATTTTTTAATCTAATTTTTATTATTTCTTCTCATCTGTCGGATTGGGTTTGGCTTGGGTTTTTTTCTCAAATTCTTGAATTGTACCATTAAGTCATTTGTTTGTGCTCTTTGTGATTTATTTTTTAATTTGTCTCTTAGAGCCCTAAACTACCCTCCTAAGACTGCTTTTAATGTGTCTCAGAGGTTTTGTTGTATTGTGAAGTTATTTTCATTTAGCTCCAGGAATATTTTTATTTGTTTCTTTGTTTCTTCTTTGAGCCATTCACCGTTCAGGAGTGTGTTGTTTAATTCCCATGAGTTCCTGTAATTATCAGCGATTCTTTTGTTGTTGATTTTAAGCTTTATTGCATTGTAGTCAGAAAGGAGATATGGAGTTATTTCAATTTTTCTGTATTTGTTGATTTTTTTGTCCCCAGTATGAAGTCTATTTTACAGAACCTTCTATGGGCTGCTGAGTAAAATGTGTATTCTTCGGTGCTTGGGTGGAATATTCTGTAGATACCTGTTAGGTCCATTTGATGTATGATACCATTTAATTCAGATGTTTCTGTGTTTATTCTTTGTCCAGATGACAAAGAATCACCTATCTTGGAGAAAATGGAGTACTGAAGTTGCCTACTATTACTTAGTTGGGGTTAGTCTGTATGTTGAAATCCTATAGTACTCTTTATGAAGTTGGGTGCACAGAGTTTGATGCATATATATTTATGATTATAATGTCTTCTTGGTCTAATTTTCCCTTGATCAGAATGTGGTCTTCTTTATGTCTTCTGATTAATTTTAGTTTGAAGCCTATTTTGTCAGACATTAGGATAGTAATACCTGCTTGTTTCTTGGTGCCATTTTATTTTTTTCTATCCTTTCACTCTGAGATGATTCCTGTCCTTAAAGGTAAGATGAGTTTCTTGTAGACAGCAACAACAACAAAAAAAGGATTTTGTTTCTTAATCTACTCAACTAGCCTAGACTTTTGATTGGGGTGTTAAGGCCATTGAGTTTTAAGGTTATCATTGAAATATGTATATTGGTTACTGCCATTTTATTTTCTGTTTTTATTCTTAGCTCTATTTTGTGTTTATATAATTAGAACTTCATTTATTTTCTTTCTGTAGTCTCCTGGGTGTTATTATTTCTTTGTTCAGTCATTTGTCTTGTTTCTAGTATTCTCTATAAGGTTGGTTTGGTGGACATGAATTCTTTTCTTTCAACCTATTTATATCATGGAAGATTTTTCTTTTTCATTCGACTATGATAGACAGTTTTTCTGGGTAAAGAAGTCTGGGTTGGCATCTATGGTCATTTAAAACTCGGTTTATTGCTCCAGGCTCTTCTGACTTTTTAAATTTTGCATTGAAAAAGTCAGCTGTTATTCTGATGGGTTTTCCTTTATAGGTAACTTGTTTTACTCTTGCAGCTTTCAGTACCCTCTCTTTGCTCTGAATATTTAGTGTTTTGTTATAATATGCAATGGCAAGCTTCTTTTCTGGACAGGACATCTATTTGGTGTTCTGTGTGTTTCTTGTATCTGTATGCTATGTCTTTGCTTAATATGGGGAAGTTTTCTTCTATGATGCTATGAAGGTTTGGTCCATGTGACTGACCTGAGATTCTTCTCCTTCCTCTATACCTATAATTTTCAGATTCGGTCTTTTCATGGTGTCCCACAGCTCCTACATATCCTTGTGTTTTTAAAACTTTTTCATAATGTTGCTTGAGTGGTCTAATTCTCCAACTTTAGCCTCAAGTCTGGATATTCTGTTTTTCATTTGATTCATTCTCCTGGAAGACTTTCTCCTATTGTTTCAAATTAGCTTGTTGAGTTTTCTGTTTCATCTTCATCTCAATTTGTGTTTTCCTCAATATTTCTATCTCTTTCATGAATTCATTTTCCAAATCCTGAATTGTCTTTGTATTTTCTTGAGCTTCAGCCAGGAGTTTATTCATATTCTCTTTGAGTCCTTGAATTATTTGTGTATTTCTTTGAAGTCCTTTACCTCTTTGATCATGTTTATGATTGTTCTTTTAAGTTCTGTATCTTGAGGCTCCTCTGAGCAGTTCTCATTGTAGAATGCTTCTCTAGAACTGGTGGGATTTGATGAGAGCATATCATCTTGGTTTTTCACATTACTTGTGTTTTTGTATTGTGATCTGGACATATGGACTTCTGTGGTTGGTTGTGTGTCTGATATGAAATTCTAGCCTGCCTTTGTAGAGATGAAGTTTGGTTCTGTTTTTATTGTTGCTGTAGCTTGATCTGAATAGTTGGTCTCACTTCATGTTCTCACTTTTGACTTTCTTATTGGCAGGATGGGGTGATTCCAGACTGGTCTGGTGTGCAAGGTGAGAAATCAAAGCTAAGACTGTGAGTGTGGAGATGAAGGCAGAGTGAATTGGTTCTAGCTAGCTCACAGAGCTAGTCTGGAGCTGAAGCAGAGCTTTCTAGGCCTCATCCAGGAGGAGAGAGGTAGCAAAGGAATGGGCAGGGCTCTGATTAGCTCAGCAGGGTGGTCCAGAGCTCATGACCAGTAGGCTTAGGGCAAGTTCCAAAGGGAAAGATGCGGAAGGACTGGGCAGGTTCTGCCTAGTTCAGCAGGCTGAGAAGTGTCTTTTGAAGAAGTAAGGTAAACTCACTGGGAGTAGAAGGAAGAAGATAGGAAAAAGAAGTATGAGTGGAACTTCTGCTAACTGCACTTGTTAGCACTCTAACTACTGATAAAAGCAGGTATGGGCCTTTATTTATGCCCTGCAGAAAGTGTCCCTCAAGTACTTCCACATATTCCCTACATGGTCACTGAATGACTACCATATTGTAGGCTCTGGGTTCTCAGCCAGGGATATAAAGATGAATAATGCCTGTCTTCAGGAAAGTTAACATTCAGTTTAGAGAAAAATCTAGAGATTGGTGAAGATTACAGTTCTTTAAAAGGAAGAGGAAACTGGGCATTGGGTATCGCTGAAACTTGCCCCTCCCTGGAAACCCACACACCATAATCTGGTAGTAGATCTGCAGAAAGCCATGCAGCATGAGTCAAGGGCATCAGCAGCAGATACCTGATGACTGTCTCCTCATGGCATTCCTCGGCGTAAGGTGATAGAGACAACTGTGTTAAAATTTTGGAATTTTAGAAGTGCTAGTACCTAAAAATGTCTAGCAAAAGCCAAAAGGCAGAAGCATCGGTCATCTCAAAGATTCTGGGGCAGGTGCCCCCTTCCTGAAAGACCCTGAGCAATGAAAATTGTAGAGCAAAAGACTAGGCAGTTGAATGTTTACCGTACAATCCAGTAAGAAGCATTCATCTTTGTTAGTTATCACCTATATTTTCAATATAAAATCTAATCTTCATCAGAGAATTCCCTGGCCTTAACTCAAATAAAACAAATAATA